ATTACTCGATTAATCGTAAGAATAATCGATAGATTACTCGATTACTAAAATATTCGTTTACAACAGCCCTAGAAAAAACTTACATTGTGTATTCAATATATTCAGATTTTTCCAGAGTACAATATACTATCAGAGAATTGTACAAACTGTCAGTGTATTAAAAGTTTACAGACAACATGCTTATGAAAATTAGCACAATAAAACAATAGGTACACTTTAAAGGAAATGTGAAAATATTTAATCAAGGACAGAGTATTGTTTTTATACAATGTCACAGTATCCCAGTATTACTGCAGACAAACTGACATTTCTCCTTCCTAAGAACAGTGGGAGGTGGGGTATACCAACGAGCAAGTTGAACAACTTGCATAATTTGCATTTGTATTTATTTATTTATTTCAAACAGGTTTTACAAACAAGTGAACAAGTAATCAGTAGGATAGAGAAAAACATGTGCATAAATAACCAAGAACAAAACAATTAGTTTAATACTACTTTGGTGTTTGAAAAAGAGCAGGAAGAAATGAACACTTAAGTGAACATTTAATCCTACCTCTTATCTCAATTTAATGAAATATATTACCTACTCACTCAATAATGATCAAAAATTTGAAATTAAAACTGTTATAATATTTATGTGCCGTTTAATGCACTGTGGTAATAAATTATATTACACAAAAAAGATGGCTACAAACTAACTCATGAGACAATAACATGTATTGATAATACTGGTAGTAACAATGATGACTGTAAATAACAACCTGACATACAGCTAAAGGTTCCCATAATGATGCATGTTGCACAGAATTTTATTGTTTCTTCTGTTCTTGTCTCTGTAAAATAATTTTGGGCTTATAAAGCTCATGATAGCTGGTTAAATGGGCAGATTATCTGTCCTGTTGCAGAACCAAACCTGCAAGAAGCTGTTTATTGCAAAGACACAACTGCTACCTGAAAACAGCCTTTCCTGAAGAAAGGAAAGCATGGTGCGTCTCTAATATTCAAATATTTCTCAGGTGACTTTAACAAAGATTTTTAACAGATTCCCCATTCTTAAGCTAACCAACTGAAAGCAAACAGAGATGATTGGACCAGATAGAACATTACCTACTTCTACTACATATCTAAAGGAAGTATCTGGCATTTTCTTCCTTTCAGAAGGAACTGAAGACAAAGGAACGATGGAGCAGAGCATGTTAAAACTGTAGCTTCTTTAACATACCTTGATTTCAGAAACATCAACCATCTTTAACAGTAATGAGACTAGAATTTTCCACATCTTTCTATAACGGTGTTAATGTTGGACATTATGAACAGGAAATAAGAGTGCCTGACAAATGGCCTTTGCCCTGTTCTACCTGCCAGGAAAGTGACACTAGAAGGAGCTGCAGTGGTTCTAAGCCAGCCATCTGTCTGCCTGCTGAAGAAGTGACTCACAAGGCCACGTCTGACAGTGTGCTCACTTCTTCTCATAATCACTTCCATCTCTGGCCTAATTGGAATCATACCTTACTGACTTTCATTTGAGACACTGGAATTTTTGCACCTTAAAGTACAGACATTGTAACGTCTGCAAACATATTCTTGGTCTGCAACAGCTGCTAATCATTAATCTGTTTTCACTTACGATAGCAACAAAAATAAATATGAAGAAAAAAAAACAGCCAATGAACACTATTCCACCAAGAGCAACATCTGACCAAAAGAAAGGTCTGCTCAGTTCTGTGAAAAATGTTAAGAATTTGCCATCAGTGCCAGAGGATCATCCAAGTTACTCAAATTGGTGGCAGCAAAACGAGACGCTCAGACATGGATCAGAATCTTGCATCCACATTCTGGCAAGCACCTTGTGTCTCCTGCCAACAGATCTGATAAATCATTCTGGGTTCAGCTCACACAGAAACTGATTACTCTCAGCTGCGAGGAAACCATCACTCTAAAGACTCTGACAGTTCTTCTCTTTTCCAGTGTCTTTTATTTCTCTCAGCAGTAGAAAAAAATTATATCATTGCCATCTGTGCTGGCAGATAAACAGTCTGACTGAGTAGACTGTTTATTTCTTCAGCTGCGGTGATGAACCACAGCACACACAGTACATACTGCAACAGAAAGGTAGCAAAATAAAAGCTAAAAAGTACATGGTGATGTGGTGTTATGTTGAATAGTGTAGCAAATTCTAAAACAGATACAAGAAAAGTTACATGTAGGGTAATAAAACCATCTCAATGCATTTCAATAAACTTTCCTCTTAACAATGGGATTTATTTGCCAATGACACAGTCAGGCACTGATGGACGCAGGGACAGAACAGTGAATAAAAAAACAGGTGTTTATTAGGAAATAAACTTATTCTTAGTCAGACAGGCCAGGGTCAGAACCAGGGAATCCAAATCGGGGTCAGGCAGTTCCTGATCTCAGGGTCAGACAGACAGGGGGTCAAAGTCAGGAGGTCCAAATCCAGTGGAGAGGGTCAGGATCGGGGACAGGAGAGGCAACTAGGCAGAAGGAAGAGACCGACAGGTTAGTTACTGGGCAGTTAGCTCAAGTTTCTACAGCAGGCCTGAGGGTGTTACCGCTGAGGGTTTCACAACAATCTGACGCCGTGCAGGGGAAGGATCTGTCCTTATATGGCAGCAGCTGGGGATCAGGGTAATGATGATCAGGTGTGAGTGGTCACAGCTCAGCAGCAGCTGTGACAGCCAACTTCTCCACAGTAGAAGTTAGCACATGCATCTCTCATGTTTACAGAAAATCCAGGGAAATACAGGAGAACGTATCTTGTAGGTGTTGGTATAGAAACAAAAACACTTTGTCAGAGGCGAGCATGTCAATTTGAGATAATAGAAAAGCAACAGCAGCACGAGTAACAACCCATTCCAACCAAGAAGAATTCCTTACCCACCATAAGCTCCAATGTTACCTGGATCATCTACCAAACTCACTGAAATCAATACATCTTGTGTCTTTGAAAAGCAAATGTCCTCAGCTGACCCATATGTGCAGTTTGGTTAATCAGATCACCTGTCAGGACCGTTTATTGTCAGAGGTCTGTAATCCTTTTGATCCCAGTCAGGTTGTCATTTATCTCTACTATCTCCGATGCTTTTATAATTTTTTTATTATGTAGTTTTTTTTCCGTGTTGTGTTTTGCATTGTAGTTTTGATTACTTTTCTTTTTAGCTTAGTTTATTTGTAGTTTTATTGCATGGAATCTAGTCTTGTTTTCTGTAGTCGTGATTATTTTTTGTTTCTCACTCTTTAATCCCTATAAACACAGTTAAGTTTCTCTTTCTTTAGCTTTAGTTTCTGCCAACAGCATACAATCAGCATTCCATTTCCATGTACAGTATTCAGTATTCAGTGTGCAGCCGTGACAAAACTGGGACCAGTGTCCATTAGACTAATACGAAGCAGAATGAGATATTCCTCAGGATTCTCATGAAATGTGATGCTCAAACAAAAATGTAAAACTGATGAGAGCAGTTAGAATAACCAGGGCTTTACAAAGAGTGGGGTGTACAGTAAAACATGTTGGTGGCAGTGTGATGGTCTGGGGGTGCTTTGAGCTTTCAGGACCCAGAGGGCCTGAACTTAAAATCCTCCAATGTCTCAAAGCTCAAGGTTGAAGCACAGAGACATGTTGTGCTTGGTTTGGCCAACACATTTTACAAAATATGGCAACCACTCTTATGCCATATTGAAAGACTCTTAGACAATTCAGAAAAATGTCAACTAAGACTTGTTTTGTTGTTACTTGCTTTGTTTCTATATTTATGCAATAGATGTGTGGATTTGTGGGTGGATTTGAATGTGTTGGTAGGGGATTTATTTAGCTGAAAATTCAAACAAAAGTATTCAAATAAAAACCCTCATATCTGGCTGATTTACAATTGTGTAAAGATGTTTCTCCACCGCTGAAAAGTTGTCCTAACCAGTCAGTAGGTTTAAGGGGAAATCACTTTTTCACACAGGACTATGTAGGTTTGGATTTGTTTCCTGCCTTAATAGTAAAAACTGCAGTTTGTGTTTTACTTGTGTTGTCTCTAATATTTAAATTGGTTTGATGTTCTGAGACACTGAAATGTGACAAACATGTTAAAAATAGGAAATCAGTAGAACAAACACTTTTTCACACCACTGAGTAAAACAGGTAACAGCAAAAAGAGCAAAACAGACATACAAACTACTGAGGTCAAATTTATCACATAGCACATTTCAACAATAAGGCAGTTATTGTTGAAATGTGTTTATGGCATAAACTACTTTATGGCATATGCATAAAGTAGTTTATACCATAAACACATAAAGTAGCCAATTATGAAACAAGTAATAAATGTTACATTTTGTCAAATACCATCAAATTCATCAAACAAATATACATCAGATATATTGATGTATATAATCTAACACAATAAAATACCTGAATAACACAATTAACTGGAACAAAGGGAACATTTTTTGACACAATGTAATCCCCAATTCTGTGTTGGAAACGTGTGTTGGTTAATTTATTTGTTGAGTGTTTAAAATATGACTGTTATAAAATCATATATTTTCCTGTGTTTTAGATCTTCAGCTCTGCTTCAACTTTGACACAAAGAACTACAAGATCTTCCATGGTTCTATAGATGCTCAGTTTGGATACACGGTTCAACAGCACGAGACAGGAGGGCGCCAATGGTAAGAGTCCCCCTAAATTTAAATATTCACAATCAAACAGAATGAGATTTCAAAGTCAATATTCTGACATGTTTCAAGTTTTATGAAGAGTCCTGGGTGCTTTTCCTATATTTCTTGTCATTCATCCATCTTGAAACACTGCCAGTGTACCCATATCTTTGTGCCTGTATTTACATACAGAAATGTCACTATTACAGAATGAGTCACACAAAGAAGCTGCTGGAAAGAATAGAGGAAGATCGGTTTAGGTCAGAAGTATACATTTATGATTTCATGTTAAGAATAGTATTACAGATGCAGACTTTGCTATTAGAGTCCTGATAGAGAAATACTGAGGCCAGATGGAGATGCATTGATTGATTGAACACCGTTTTACTAATTAATTAAATCCTGTAGGCATGGTGGTGCCTTATCCATAAGACATAAATAAGACAGTCATTTCTAAATAATTGGAAACGGCATCCTTGTAGCTTTAAAGAAGGTGTATGAATGACAGAGTGCAGAGAGGAGCTGTGGTATTACATGAGGAGGTCTGAAGCAGTTCTTCACTGGCCAGTGACCTGTCAAAGTGACACAACTCAGGCATGGATGGACGCCGATACTAAACAAGCTCCAGTTTATTGGACACTTTTCTCTCCTGGTCAGAGAGGCTAAGATCAGGTGTGCGGGTCCGATCTAGGGTTAGTTCCAGCTCTCAGGGTCAGACAGGCAGAGGGTCAAAGTCAGGAAATCAAAATTGAGTGAGTAATTATGTCCTAGTGAAAGACATACAGGGACAGCAAATACAAGATAATGGTGAAAAATTAATGCAGCCCTGAATGGATATAAATTGTGTGACATTTCAATGACCTATTGAAACAATACCACAGCGATTTTGTGCTGTAATCAAAGGTAAAGGTGGTCCCACAAAACAGTAGAGCAGGGGTCCTCAAATCCAGGCCTTGAAGCCCACTGGTTCAAACCTGGTTCAACATACCACAATCTGAAAACGACCTCATTATTTGGCCCAGGTGAGCTAAACCCTGCAGAACACCAACACGCCTGGATCTGAGGGGTCCTACTATTTGTGTGACAAATTTTGTGGCAATCAAACAATCTACTGACAAAGAATAAACCTACTAATCTACTAATCAACAGGTCAGAAATAATCAGAAAATGTTGAGCAATCTTTTTTGAATAATTGCTTAAGTTTTATTTTATTCATTCATTTTATAAATCTCGTGTCAAAAAAAAATCTACTTCTGATTTCTTTCTCATCTTAGAGGAAAAGGAATGAAGTTCTATCTTCCAGCTCCAAATTAAAATAACAACTTTCATGTATAAAAATACAATATAGGTTGAGGTTTACAGCTAACAAAGTGTTAGTTCAGCCTTTTACCTTTCTCCCTCTGTTGAGGGAGCTTAGGCCTGTACTGCTCCAAAATATGTCCTCATATGGATGAACTGATCCCAGCTGGGACCAGACATGAAAGTAATAGTGTTACGACCCGGCTCGTGAGCCGCAACAAAAAGCCAGGGAGACACGGCCTTCAATAAAAAATACGCTC